CAGTCTCCCCCTCAGGGGCCGCTCCTGCCGCCATCGCCGCCGCCTCGGGCCCCGCGCCGCAGCCTGCACGGGCCTCCCTGCACGACGCAACCCGCGGCTCTCCCTGTCTGAGGTGCGGCTCCGGGAGCCCCGCAAGGGATAGTCTTTGACCGCGCATGGATGGAGCAGAGGCACTCCGGGCCCTGCTGCAGCCCTGAGGCGCGGCGGCGCAGTGCCATCCCGATGGTCAAGGTGGCTTCACAAGGGTTCTGGTGCCATCCTGAGGGTCCCAGTGCCATTCCAAGGGCCCTGGTGCGTGCCCAGGGTCCCAGTGTGCCCCCAGCCCAGGGTTCAACAGGCCGTGTTCCCCCACATCCCCTCCTGTCCCTGCTGTGGCAGCTGCTCCCCTCCCGGAGCTCCTTTCCAGCCTTTGAACTCTGCTGTCCCAGCCCTGCTCCGTCCCTGGAGCTCCAGAGCTGCCAGGATCTCCAGCAGGAGCTCCCAGGGCTGCGGCACTGGGATGTGCTGAGCCTGCAGAACATAATTCCAAATGGCGAAGGGAAGACTTTTTATAGCTCAGGAAATCCAGCTCCAGTGTGGTGTGTTTAAAAGCAAGAGATTGGTGTGCTGGTCTTCCCACGTGAGACCTGGGACCCTCAGCAAGGGACTCAGGCATTTCCAGGGTCAAAGAAACATGGACAAGGGGGATGCACAAAGCATTTCCATCGCAGAGGAGCTCCCAGCTAAACACAAATCCCTGCTGGATTCTGCTGCAGCTCCAGGCCGGTGCTGACAGGAGTTTGTGCAAGAGCAGAGCTCAGGGACCTTCTGCATGAGCCTCATATCCAAACACTTGGATTCCTGAAGCCCTTGAAGACAAAGAGAACTACAAGTCGTGCCAGCCCTGCAGGAACACGCTGGACTTCCTTTATCCTCCCTCCAAGCTCAATAAAGCTCCTCAGCAGAGGAAGCCGTGTCGGCTCCCCCCACACGACAGTTCTGCTGAATTTAAAGGTCACAGAGTGCCTGCTGAGAAAACGTGGCTAATAAAAGGCACAGAAACAAGTGCAGTGCCAGCAGATTAAATTCCCCTTGTAAGACACCGAGCAGAGGGTTCAGAGCCCTGGAAAGGTCACTCAGTACGGGGCTCCTTTAAAGACACACAGGCACAAGGCGAGTCTGGGAAAAGCAGCTGGGAAGAGATGAATAAAATCCCACAGTGTGTCCTGGGAAGCCCAAACATCAGAGGAGGGGAGGCCTGGGGCGTGTGGGGCACAGTGGGGTCCTGGCCTGGCTCCTGCAGGCCCCAGGTGAGGGGGACCCAGCTCAATGTTGCAATCCCAACACACCATAGTCCTACGGCCAAATTTTAATCCTGGAACCATTGCTGAGACAAAGCAAGTGGGACACTGTGTGACGTTGTGGCTAAACAGGGACGTACAGGGACATTCTTGCTGTTTCTGGGACAGCACAGGAGGGTGCAGAGCCAGGAGGGAACGGGCAGTGCCCTGTTCTGAGCACTCAGCAAGTCCAGCAGGCACCAACCCAGCGACAGCGACGGACTGAAGCCGCAGAACAAGGAGAGCATCTCCTATCTCCTCTCCATGTTTATTGTTATTTTAAAGGTACACTGTTAATCAGAGACCCCTTGGCTCTGGGACTTGAATGGGGGAGAACAGGGAGCCCTACAGCATTCCAACCTTCCAGCCCAGGTAGGGTCAGTGACTGCTGGGCATGCTGGCCTGAGCAAACACCACCAGCTTCAGAGGAGCAGAGGGACATGTGGCACACGGCTGGACAAGGGGCAAATTTCAAAGGCTCAGTGTGAGGCCCAAGACCTCTGTCCTGTCCTAGGATTGTTGGACATCTCCGTGTACCTTTTGTGGATCATATGCTTATTCCTGCCCCTGTGCCACTGGGCAAGCTTGCAGCATCCCCACATGAGGGAAAGTGTGAGACCTCCTTCAGCTCCTGGACAGCCACACAGGGATGCACAGAGTGGTCTAAAGCCAGCAAGAGGAAGGCAAAGTGTGGCTGTGGAGCATTTACTGAACAGCAACATGACTCAGGTGCGTTGTGGTGACCCACCTGCCTGCTGTGCAGGTACGAGGCAGGGTCACACCAGCTGCTCACACAGACTCAAAGGCAGTTGGTCCCTGCAGTGCCAAGCCCCAGAGGACAAACTGAGACAGGGAGAGAGGTCAGCAGGCATGGAATTAGCACAGGCAAACCTGTGACAACAGGGAGCTCCCAGGGCTGATAGAGAGAGCAAAAGCTCGAAATTAACAAGCTCCAGCGTGTCCCTGGGTCAGCAGGAGCAGCTGGGGGAAAGCAGCACATGGCCGGGTGGCAAGGAATGCCATTGTCTGTGCTGGTACTGCTCAGAAAGATCCTCAGCACCTCTGGAAGTCCTGAGAGCTCCACACACCAGGTGGAGACTGGCATGGGACTGTGCCCTCTCCACCAGACAGGGAACGCAAAAGCAGCAGCAGCAGGTAGGGAAGAGCTGATGTCACCCACCCATGGGGCTAAGAGGGAGGAGCTGGGACACTGTTTTCCCTTCCAGGCAGTGCCCAACCCTTATCTATCATGATGGCCTGGCAGAGTCCTTCTCAGAGCTGAATCCACTATGAGGAAGTGGAAGGAGGAAGATGCTCAGCCCTGCTCAGGGCAGACCTTAGACGACAGCAGCATTTAAACGAGCCCTTCAAAGACAGAAAGAGGTCAGCAGGTACCTCTGTGCCAGGCTCAGTGTCCAGGGCAGTGTCCAGGGCTGGGGAAGGGAACCTCTGCTCTTAGAGCAGTCTGCAAAGGCTCCCAGGAGACCTGGACTCCTTCCAAGGCTGTGGCAGCAGATGAGGTTGGTGTGGGCAGGAGCTCTCAGCACATCTCGGCAGGGCCCGTGGTCTGCAGAGACCCTTACATGTGCTCAGGGTGGTTCTGCAGACACGTGATGAAGTCAGTGACGGGTTTTCCCTCGTAGCAGATCTGATAGACAGCTGTGAAGAGGGGGAACCTGTGGGCAGGCAAAGGAAGTCACCACAGATGACAGAGTCAGAGCACCTCGATCTCTGTCATGGCACACAGGAGCAGGTGGCCAATGGCACTGTGCTGTGTCCAACAGGCCACTCTTGCCCAGCTGGTGTGACGTGGGCAGTGCAGAGACACCAAGGAGGCTTTCCCCTCCTGCTGCTCCTGGAAAGGTCCCAGCCCCACCCCAACGAAGCACAGAGATTTCAGCACTCACTTCTCCACTACATTCTTGCTCTTGAGGATTCGATGCAGCTCAGCAGATGTCTGGGGACCCTGCAGCTTCTGCCCATTCAGCATCTCCTTCTCCAGCTGCTCGATGGACTGAAACAACCCAGCAGTGAGGAGATGGACCTGCAGCCCCACTGCTGCACCACGTTCCTGCCCCAGAGCTGGGCTGCAGCACTAGCCAAGCACAGGCAGATCCCACAGCACTAACTGGGATCACCTCCCAGTGCTCACCAGGCTGATGCAGGGATCACAGAATCATGGAATATCCTCAGCTGGAAGGGACCCACAAGGATCATGCAGTCATACTCCTGGCCCCACACAGACACCCCAACAATCCCACCCTGTGCCTGAGAGTGTTGTCCAAAAGCCCCTTGAGCTCTGGCAGCCTTGGAGAACCTGTTCAGTGCTGACCACCCTCTGGTTGAAGAACGTTTTCCAGCCTAAACCTCCTGTGACACAACTTCCTCCACACAGGTATCATTGTCAGCGCTCCCAGCTCTGCTCACCTTTCCAGTCTTGGCAAAAGCCTCGGCGACCTTGCGGTTGCGGCCCCCATAGCAGGTGGTGATGAGGTCAGCAATGCCACAGCTCTCCAGGAAGGTGGTGGAGCTGACAGGGCCCTTACAGAAGATTTTGGCAAAGCCAATCATCTCCATCAGGCCCAGGCGGATCACAGCAGCCTTTGTGTTGTCACCATAGCCAAGCCCATCACAGAAACCAGCTCCTACAGCCACCACATTCTGGAAAACAATGGCAACGTGGAGGGATCTTGGGGCTTGGCTGCATCCAGGAGCAGCTGGTGTGATCCCAAGTACTGGCTGCTGTCTGTGCCAGTGCCATCATCCCTTCTCCCATGAGCTCCCTGCAGAGCCCCAGGCCCTGCTCACCAAGCCCTGCACACCCACCTTGAGAGCCCCACAGATCTCCACGGTGTCAGCTTCCTGCACCACTGACACACGGAAGTTTGGTGTCTGCATCAGGTCCTTCAGCATCTGCCCGTGCTTCATGTTCTTGCAGCCTGAGGAGACAAAGGGACGAGGAGGAAGATGATGTAGAAGACTCTGAGGTAGGTCCATGTTCTCCTGAAGGTCATCCAGTGAGAGGAACCTATTGCCCAACCAGTGGACATTGCAAAACGTTTGCAGGTCCACACAGAGCCAGGCACACATTGCCTGACAGATAAGAAATGTTCAACTTTGGCATTCCCAGAACACAGGGACAATCCCTGCTGCTGTGTCAAGCAAGACAGAAATGACTTTTCTGAATGCTCAATAGGTTAAAGACATCTTCAAAGGTTGCTAATTTGGAGTTGGAGCTTTCTGTCCTGCTTGTCTCTGCAGGGTCCTGTGTGCTTGCAGGGGTTGTGGGATCTGCTCCACCTCTCCAGCCTCCTGCCCAGTGTGTTTGCTGTTATTTAATAAAACAGACACTTTGAATGCCACGACTTCTGACCCAGCAAACGGTTCTGTTTGCTTTGGCTCTGTGCACAGTTCCCAACAGTGTGTAGAGGATGTTGAAACAGTCAGCAGATGAACTTGCAAGCAGCCCTGGCTGGCAATAACATGAGATCCAGGTGGGCATCCTGTGAAGCCCAAGGAAATCAAGGATGGAACTTATTCCTAAAGGTCCTCTTGGTGCCCACCCCTTTCATTTGTGCCAGGCAGCTGCCTGATGCCAGGCCCACACTGGCAGGAACTTTTAGCTACATGAATCCATTGCTAATGAAGCGAGTGATCCCATCACAAACCCTGGGAATGAGCTCAGGCAGCTCCTATGGAGTCTCCTGTCTTCCCAGGGAGTGGAGCCAGTTCACCTGAGGCAGCAGGAGTTTGAGCTGCGCCGTAGTCCGCCCTTTGCCTCTTCCTGCTCATCACAAATGAAAGCTGCTAATGAGGAGGGATGTTGGCTCCTTACCGATGGTGGTTTCACAGAACTTGTCTTCTGCCACTTCCTTGGCAATATTGGCCCCCATGAGCACGTTCATTTCTATTCCCAGTTTCTCATGGATGATGTCTGAGATCAGCCTCAGCCCATCTGGTCCTTCATCCACGCCCTGGGAGGCAGCAAGGAACAGAGATCACAGAATCATGGGCTGGAAAAGATCTCTAAGGACATTGCGTCCAACCTTTGACTAAACACCCCCTTGCCAAGCAGACCATGAGCACTTGTCCCTCCTGGACACCTGCCCTGCATCCCAACCCCACCATTCCCTGTGCTGCAGTGCTCTGACTGATCCTGATGTGCAGAGCTGTGCTCTGCTCCTCTCAGCACCGGAGATCCCCCCTATGCCCTCACCCTTCTCCACCAACACCTCCAAATCCCCACAAAGACTCTGCCCCCACTTCCCTTCTTCCCCCCACTGCCCATTTCTGCTCCCAAATCCCCTGATTCCCTCAGCAGCCACTCCAAGCCAGGCTACTTCCAGCTCCCCTGGTGAGTGCTGCTCCTGCTCACACCTTGATGAGCGACATCCCAATTGCCTCTTTTTTCACGTGGCCCTTGAGCTGGTCACAGACTTTGCCGATGAACTGGTGGGGCACCACGAACAGGAGGACATCAGCCCCTGCACAGGCTTTGAGCAGGTCTGGCTCTGCCACCTGAATAGAGCGTGACTGTTATTAGGGACTGGGAAACTGGAAGGGAAGGAAGGGCCCAAAGTCACCATGCCGAGGTCCCAGCCAGAGCTGGCAGGACAGAGGGGCTAGAGCAGAGTGGGATGATGCCAGCTCAGAGGCAGCCACATGGCCTCCAGCCCAGCCTGTGGGATGCCAGAGCAGGGGCAAAGGTGGGCAGCGAGAGCAGCCGGGGCTGCAGCTCCTGCGAGCACAGATGAAGGTCAGTGGGAGGGCATAAAATAACTGAACCCTGCACAGCCCGCTGCATCCCCTGCCGTCAGCTCTGCCCCTCGGAAAGCCTGCTGCCAGCCCACACTCACCACGTTGGGGGGCAGCTTGTGCCCCGGCAGGTATTTGACATTCTCGTGCTCCGTGTTGATGATGTCCGTGAGCCGCCGGCCGCCCACCTCCTCCTCCAGCACCCACATGTTCACCTGGTTCTCGAAGCTGCTCAGCCGAGCTGTGTTGCTGCCGGCGATCTTGGCGATGGCCGAGCCCCTGCGAGGGCAGAGGGAGGCCGTGGCTGTGGGCATTGGGGAGCCCAGAGCACCACAGGTGACCCGCAGGGATGGGAACGGCTGGCACCGGCTACCGGGGATGCCGAGCGGGGACAGGGGAGGACAGGGAGCCGGGTGTCCGGCGCTCACCAATTGCCGGAGCCCACGATGCAAACCTTCTTGCCACCCATGGTGCCGGGAGCGGGGCACTGCGGGCTTGGAACCCGCCGCTGCTATTTCAAGGCT